CTTATATTTGATCAAGGATCTAAAACCAATTCCTGGAGCAAGGACAGTCTATTCAATAAATGGTGCTGGGAAAACTGGATTTCCACGTGCAGAAGCATGAAGCAAGACCCCTACCTTACACCTTACACAAAAATCCACTCAACATGGATTAAAGACCTAAATCTACGACCTGACACCATCAAGTTATCAGAGAACATTGGAGAAACCCTTCAAGATATTGGCACAGGCAAAGAGTTTCTGGAAAAGACCCGGGAGGCACAGACAGTCAAAGCCAAAATCAACTATTGGGATTGCATCAAATTGAGAAGTTTCTGTACTGCAAAAGAAACAGTCAGGAGAGTGAAGAGACAACCGACAGAATGGGAAAAAATATTTGCAAACTATGCAACAGATAAAGGGTTAATAACCAGAATCTACAAAGAGATCAAGAAACTCCACAAAAACAAAACCGACAACCCACTTAAGAGATGGGCCAAGGACCTCAATAGACATTTTTCAAAAGAGGAAATCCAAATGGCCAACAGGCACATGAAAAAATGTTCAAGGTCACTAGCAATCAGGGAAATGCAAATCAAAAGCACAATGAGGTTTCACCTCACCCCGGTTAGAATGGCTCACATTCAGAAATCTACCAACAACAGATGCTGGCGAGGATGTGGGGAAAAAGGGACACTAACCCACTGTTGGTGGGAATGCAAACTGGTCAAGCCACTATGGAAGTCAGTCTGGAGATTCCTCAGAAACCTGAAGATAAACCAGCAATATCACTCCTTGGAATTTTCCCAAGGGAAATGAAATCAGCAAATAAAAGAGTTAACTGCATCCCTATGTTTATTGCAGCTCAATTCACAATAGCTAAGACATGGAATCCACCTCAAACCCATCAATAGTAGATTGGATAAAGAAATTATGGGATATGTACTCTTTAGAATACTATACCGCAGTAAAAAACAATGAAATCGGGTCATTTACAACAAAATGGAGGAATCTGGAACACATCATGCTGAGTGAAATAAGCCAGTCTCAAAGGGACAAATATCATATGTTCGCCCTGATCGGTGACAACTGACTGAACACCAAAAAGGAAACCTGTTGAAGTGAAATGGACACTATGAGAAACGGTGATTTGATCAGCATAGCCCTGACTGTTAATGAACAACTTAATACGTTATCCCTCTTAGTATTTTTTTTTTTTGTCTGTTCTACTTAATACTACTGGTTTAATTCTGTAATTAATACACAGTTATTCTTAAGTGCTGAAACTTAACTGGAATGTGGGAATAAGAGTGGGAAGAGATGTACAATTTGGGACATGCTCAGGCTGACTTGCCCCAAATGGTAGAGTTAGAAATATACCAGGGGATTCCAATTCAACCCCATCAAGGTGGCATGTACCAATGCCATCTCACTAGTCCAAGTGATCAATTTCTGTTCACAATTGATCATAATGAAAGGACTAAGAGTCAAAGGGATCATATAAACAAGTCTAGTGCCTGCTAATACTAACTGATAGAATAAATAAAGGGGAGAGCGATCCAACATGGGAAGCGAGATACACAGCAGACTCATAGAATGACAGATGTCCTAAACAGCACTCTGGCCTCAGAATCAGCTCTAAAGGCATTCGGATCCGGCTGAAAAGCCCATGAGAGTATTTCAGGCACGGAAAGCCAAGACTCTCTGGCAAAAAAAAAAAAAAAAAAAAAAAAAAAAACAACAACAACAAAAAAAACAAAAAACAAAAAAAAACGCCTCAATGAAAGATCTCTGTGAGTGAGATCCCAGTGGAAAGAACAGGTCTTCAAAGAAGGAGGTACCTTTCTCTGAAGGGAGGAGAGAACTTCCACTTTGACTATGACCTTGTCTAAATAAGATAAGAGTCGGTGAACTCAAAAGGCTTCCATAGCCTTGGAAACTCATGACTGGAGCATAGGGAGATTACTGATGCCATAAACAGGAGTGTCAATTTGTAAAGTCAACAACTGGAGTCACTATGCACTTACTCCTCATGTAGGATCTCTGTCCTTAATGTGCTGTGCATTGAGATTTAATGCTATAACGAGTACACAAACAGTATTTTTCACTTTGTGTTTCTATGTGGGTGCAAACTGTTGAAATCTTTACTTAATGTATACTAAACTGATTTTCTGTATATAAAGAAAATTGAAAATGAATCTTGATAAGAATGGAAGGGGAGAGAGAGCGGGAAAGGGGAGGGTTGCGGGTGGGAGGGAAGTCATTGGGGGGGGGGAAGCCAATGTAATCCATAAGCTGTACTTTGGAAATCTATATTCATTAAATAAAAGTTAAAAAAAAGAGGATGTGTTCTTTTATTAACAAAAATACAGATATATTTGGGGGCTTTCTCCTTTGTTGTTTTCAATTCTATTTGGTAGAAGGAATTCAGAAATTTCAATCTGGATCATGAGTGTGAGGATTAATCAAATAATTGTCGAGTTTCTCCAATGAAGGTTAAAGTTGGCCATTGAGTTAGGAAAAGGGGATGCTAAAATTTTTGAAGGAAGACTGGGTGGAGCTGGGAAATATGCATGTACCATAAGGGATTATGCCACTTAAACTTGGGAGGAGAACCAGGATGAAGTTAAGCAATTGATACTTTTAGAGAAAATGGGAAAGTGGCACAATTATATTCAAATGTCAGTCTATAATTTTTTTCACTTAAATATCTGTTTTTGCTCACCATAATGTGATCATTAAAAAAGCAGACGTTTACAAGTAAAAATGGAAAGTATATAGATAAAATGTAAAGATTTTGATACATTTTAAGAATGCGTCAGTTCTCTTTGTAATATATTTTTATACATTCAGACATACTAGGCCGGCACCGTGGCTCAACAGGCTAATCCTCCGCCTAGCGGCGCCGGCACATCGGGTTCTAGTCCCGGTCAGGGTGCCGGATTCTTTCCCGGTTGCCCCTCTTCCAGGCCAGCTCTCTGCTATGGCCCCGGAGTGCAGTGGAGGATGGCCCAAGTCCTTGGGCCCTGCACCCCATGGGAGACCAGGAGAAGCACCTGGCTCCTGCCTTCGGATCAGCACGGTGTGCCAGCTGCAGCGCGCCAGCCATGGCGGCCATTGGAGGGTGAACCAACGGCAAAGGAAGACCTTTGTCTCTGTCTCTCTCTCTCACTGTCTACTCTGCCTGTCCAAAAAAAAAAAAAAAAAAAAAGACATAATAAGATCACACGATTTAGTTTCATCTTTCCCCAGTAATTTTACATCTTAAGAATTTCCAGTACTCTTAAAAATTCTTAACAGATACAATTCCTAATGTTTATGAAACATTACCACCTTAATGTGCCATAGTTTATTCAAGCAGACTATTAGATGTTTAAGTCACTCACAATTTTGGATATCAACAGGAAGCCTCTTCCCTCATACACTTGTCTACTTATGCTTTGGGTAGGTTTGATCTATGAGAAGCTTTATTTATTTATTATTTTATTTATCGGAAAGACTGGGTTATGGAGAGAGGTAGAGATGGAGAGAGAGAGGTCTTCCATCTGCTGGTTCACTCCCCAGATGGCCGCAACAGCCGGAGCTGAGCTGATCTGAAACCAAGAGCCAGGAGCTTCTTCCAGGTCTCCCACATGGGTGCAGCGTTGGGCCATCTTCTACTGCTATCCCATGCCATAGCAGAGAGCTGGATCGGAATAGGAGCAGCCGGGACTAGAGCCGGCACCCATATGGGATGCCGGCACTTCAGGCCAGGGCTTTAACCTGCTGCGCTACAGCGTGGGCTCCTATATTTTGTTTTAATTTGCCTTTTTTTTTAAAGTTTGTACATCTTCCCATATTTTTATTTATATTAGCTACACAGGCAACTTCAAGATGCTGTTACACCAAAAGAAACTTCTCTTTATTTCCATGTTCCACAGACTTTTTGTACTACCTTCATACATGTCACAAAACTTTGAATAAAAGGAAGTTTTGGCAGGTAAAGATGATTCGACATCATGGAAGATGCTGAAATCATGGGAAAGGGGAGTGAAGATGAAGACTGGCAGTGGTGGGGGACTACGGGGAAAATGGGGCATGGAATGAGAAAGGCCAGGGGAAAGGAGCAAGGGTAAGAGGCCAGCCGCTCCTCAGCTTCACAGCAAACCAAGGCTCTGCACCTGCCTCCCAACAGGTGTCCAGGTGCGGTTCCAGTTTATGATCAAGGAGTATTCCCAGAGTCAAACAGTCCTGAAACTCTGGGCATTCTGATTACTGCACAGTGGACACAGACAGAGGCAGTGACTTTGGACAAAGAATTGAGGGAGAAGGAAGGCTAGAGATATGTGAAAGGAGAGGCAGGTTATACCAGGCCAGGGAGAGAAGCACTGGGCTTTTATTCCCAGGAGGTGAATTGTGGGCCGGGGGAGGAAACTCTGAAAGGGTAAGCGCTCCCCCAGGTCAAGGCATAGCCTTGCTCTAGTTCTGCTGGTCCGGTGGCTGGACCCGTGGTAAACATCTGAGCACACACCTGATCACACTGTGGTTCTGCTACCCCTCTCGCTGAACCTCCGGGTCCCTGCCCACCTCTATCCGAGAGACAATAAATGGCAACCTGTTCCATTACAAGTACACTGGACTTGGTCTCCTGTCCTTGAACAGAGACCAAGGGAGTTCACGGGTGAGAGAAAGGGCCGTGTTTCCTGCTCCCTCCCACAGGCTGTTCAAGACAGGCTGGGGTTGGGCTGTCTCTCAACCCTTCGAGTGGCCAGGACATCATGCAAGAGCAAGGACACTCCACCAACACGGAGGCACACACGGACTCGGTAATGGTTTTCCTAACAGCATAGGTTTATTCTGAGGAGAAGCAGAATCTGGGGCTCTCCAAAAGGCACTTGTGAGGCACAGAAGGCAGCCACAGGATGAACGGTAGACAACTTTGCCGGCATCCCCGGGGGTGGCGAGAAGACGGAAAGCCCACAGGGCCACAGGGGCTACCTCTACTAGACAGAGAAGCCACGGCGGAGGAGTGGTTCAGCCGAGGGCCTGTGCTTCTGAACCGTGAGCTTCCCTGAGCAGTCTCAAAGTCTGGCACTCAGGACTGGAGGTGCAGGGCCCATCCACTTCTCTCCTGGACAAAGAAATTCACAGACGATCACGCACTGTTCTTAGGTGAGCTGGGTTTTCTAGGAGAAGCCCTGTTTGGCATCAAGGAGCAGGAGGGCTCCTTTGTTTCACAGGGGCTTGAGGGCTATGGTTGGTGGCGAAGGCACTCCTCCCCATTCAGCTTTTATAAAAAATGGATCTATTATTCCATATATATTTTTTTCTCTCTCTGATTTTATTTATTTATTTGAAAGGCAGAGTTCTACAGAGAGAAAGAGAGAGAGAGAGAAACAGATCCTCCATCCATTGGTTCATTCCTCAAATGGCAACAAAGACCAGGGTTGGACCCAGCCAAAGCCAGGAGCCAGGAACTTCCTTTGGCTCTCCCACATAGGCGCAGGGCCCCAAGGACCTGAGCCATGCTCTGCTGCTGCCCAGGTGCATCAGCTGGAGTTGGATCAGAAGTGGAGCAGTTGGCACTTGAACTTGTGCCCATAAGGGATGCTGGCACTGCAGATGGTAGCTTAGCCCGCTGTACCACAGCACCAGAAACCCATTCAGCTTTGAGCAGCATGCCTGTACAAGACCATGTTGTTGGAATTGCAAGGACATTCTTTTTGCTCTGAACCTCTTCTGTTCACATGGTATAACAGGGGTGGGACTGGGATCACAGTTAGTTAGGTGTGGAACTTTTAACTTACCCAGCAGGTGCGCCAGTAACTCCATGCGGTCAGAGCCAAATAACATGTGGGTCTGGCCATCCACGTGAGCCACGGTGACAGGTAGCCCAAAGGCCTGCAGAAAGCAGTTACAGTGCAGGGAGGAAGACGATGGAGCAGGTGCTATAGGGTTGGGGCTGAAGCCTTCCAGACAAGTACTGTCTGGGCTCACAGAAGCAAAGCAGCCAGAGGTGACTGATACGAGGCTCCATGGCCTCAGGTGCAACTTCTGTGTCTAAGTCTCAGATGTGTTATGCTTCCCTCACCATCTATCCCTTTCCCTTCCTCCCCCTAGGCTCAGGCAGAAGAAGGGGGAAGAGGAGGGGCGTCCGGGAAGACACAGGGAGACGCAGGCTGGGAAGGGGCCTTTTGGACAGGAAAGTGGGACACAGCCAGAGAGTCTGTCTCTGTCTTCAGGGTGCGGGTTGGGAAGACACACAGCTGCTCACCCCGTATCTGCAGGCTGCCTCCGTGGTCTCCATGAGCTGGTTCTTCACCTGCGGTGTGGCTGTCTTCTCTAGCAGTGCTCGGGCGTCCTCTGCAGACATACCAGCCCTCTCTGCAGCCTGAGGGCAGGTGGTGGGAGGACAGCCATGTCAGCGTTGTGGGGCCTGGAGCTCTGGAGAAAACTCGGGGGTTTCCATCTCTGCACTAAAGTATTCTTGGCAATGCCCTCATCTGCCACAAGTGTGGATCTCTTCCTTTAGCCCAAACCTTCAAATGAGTGGATGCAGCAGAGGGTAGTCACTCACAGAAACTGAATGTGGGGGTCCTGGGGAACATAGCCTGACCGCTTCCTTTCACAAATGCCTACAGTGGGAGGGGACACGTTTCTTGTTCAGAGGTACAGAGCCTGTCTTTAGCAGAGCCAATGCTAGAAGCCAGGTCCCCAGAATTCAAGGCCAGGGCACTTGTGTTTCCTATTTTAGAATTCTGTAGTCTCTCATGCTGTCTGAACCAAGGGTTGGGCCCTAATCCCAGGAAATATCCTGGGACCTCACAAGGATCCACAAGGCTGCAGCCACTGCCTGGCTTCCAGGGAATGACCAGGCTTCATTAGGGCTTGTTGCTACTTGGGGCTCAATGGTTCTCATGAGAACCTTCTTGGGCAATTTTGAAAATCCCACCATGCATTCTTTTCTAGAATGTTTGCATCAGACTTTATGAGGGGGTGAGGCTAACACACAGCCTCTGCAACCTGACATCCTAGACCCGGAGGGGGACGCATGCAGCCATGCAGTCCATGCCAGTGAGGCGCTGCCACTGACCTGGCTAAAAGAGGATCGTGTCCCAGACCAAGCATTCAACAATGGATATGAGAATGGTCAGGGACAAAAAATAAGGCCAGAATGAAAGGCCACGCAGAATGGAGAACTATACCTTCAAAGAATAAAAAGTGGCAAGGCAAATTATTATTATGTTAAAGCAGATTAAAATTTACATATATAGTTTGCAGGAAAATGACACTGGAAGATGTATTAGCCAGTTTTTGTACATGTAACTTTCGTGTGATCTGTCATTTTATATATTGAAATTGAATGTGCTCCACTGTTTTTTTTTTTTTTTTATAAACTGGAGGAAGAATATTGTAATGCATTGCCTGACTTAATCCCGAAGAAAAATTCCGTTTTTATGCTTCTGTCTTTGGCTGACGGACAGGTCAGTGTTCAGAGCTCATTCCAAGTGTTCTCACTCAGCTCCTGCATTGTTCTTACATGGTCAGTTGTCTGTTTTGGTTTTAGCCTATTTTTAGTCTCCTGCTTTCTTTTTGCCTGTGTTAGTGATGTTTTTGTTGGAGGGCTTGGACACTCGTGAATCCATCTCTTCCCATCTGGGGCTTCTGTAATCGTCTCTCCCACTGACTTCTTGTATGAAATACATGCGACTCACATATTCCCCCTTTTCTACCTCCCTTTCCAACCAGGAACTAGTCTTGAGAATTCTCTTCGTTCCAAATTTTCAGTAATATCTAAATTAAACAGAGATATGCTTTCTTCCCAAACCACTGTGACCTCTGCCATGACACATTAACTATATTTGAGACTTTGCTTTCCCCCAAGCAACTCTGTATAGCAGCAGTGGGGGTATGGACAAGACACTCACAGCCAGGATGCTCTGGGGCTCCGTGATGTCTTCATCCTGGGGAGGAGAGAAGGCTCAGCAGGAAAGGGGTGGGAGCAGAGGCTGAGAACAGGGGAGGGCAGGGCATGATTTTCAGAAATGGGCTGGCGAGGGTCAGGGATTACCCAGTCTCCCTCACCCCGGTGGATCCCAGAGCCCGGCCCTCACCCGTGACCAGACGCGCATCCACAGCTCTCTGGACACCTTCTCCAGCAACTCTGGGCGTTGCATGCTCAAGGCAGTGAGGAATCGCATGGCAGACACACTTCCTATGTGCAGAGACACCCGGAGGAGGAATGCTGATGGAGGAATACCTCCCTTGCCCTCAGGACTCCCGGGCTCAGCTGCCATGGCCTCTCACCCAGGCTTATCAGGATTGCTTTGTCCTGCTGTGTCCCTACAACCTGTATCTCACCCAGCTGGGATCCTGAGCGGTCCCGACCATGCTCCATCTAACGCAGGCTCCCAGGCCCCCACTTCCTCCCTTCAGTCTCCATCGGAGTGCTCTGCCTTCGACTGGATTCCCGCGTGCTTCCCCCCTCTTCACCTTTTTCAAGAATCACAGAGAAGAAATCCTTTGGGAATCGGATGGGGACCTGGAAATGCTCTCCCTGGAGCCTCAGGTCACTTCTCAAGTATTTTCCTTTTCGAGGCAGCATCGCTGGAGGCTTGTTTCCTGCCATTGCAGTAAGACAGCTTGGTGAGAAGACCTGAGCGTCCCGGGCGCAGAGGAACCCTCCCTGGGTCTCAGGCAGGGGACACCCAACTAGCCGCAGGCCAGCCGAGGACGGCTCCCCTGGGCCACTGGGATCACTGGGATCACTCTCCCAAGCCGTTCCTACCGCTGTCTTTCATGATCCCTGCAATGAGGGCGGGCCGCAGCCGCAGCTGCACATTCCAGAGCTTCTGATACCGGCACAGCACCTGTGGCGCGAGGAGGGCCAGCGGGTCAGGCCAAGACTGGAGGGCCGGCGATGGCAGCCGATCCGCTGAGGCCCCACGCGCGGGGCCCGGTCCCCGGGGCGCCCTGCAACCCTCCACGCACTCCTGGAAACGCACTCCAGGACCCAGGCGCCGGCGGGCGCTTCCCATGCTCCTGACCCCAATGCTGCCAGCGGGGACAGGGGTGGCTGGACCCCTCCATCCGCTGGAGCTGCACCGTGGGGAACTATATCCTCTCAGGAAGCAAAGGCTCATCTTGGGACCGGGCTCTACCCTGCACAACAGCGCACTGCGGCCGGGACCCCTCCCTGTGCCCTCGCCCCCCAGGCCTTGCCGAGGGGCTTCCGCGGGTCACCTCGAAGCCCAGCCAGGAGTAGGGGGACAGCACATCGTAGAAGAGCTCCAGGGTGCGCGGCAGGGGCCCCATGCTACAGCTGCAGGCCGGTCAAGGCCAGAGCCAAGATCACGGTGACGAGATTACGGGTCGGAAAGATGGACCGGGAGCCCAGCATATGGAGCCCGGCGGGCTCCGCCCCGCTTCCCGGCCTGCCCGGGTGCACCGCCCAGGGCGCTGGCCGCGCAGCCGCAGTCGCGAGAACCTGCCCAGGGCCCAGCCTGGCGGCGGGGCGGGGGCCGAGGGTGGGCGGGGCGTGAGGTGGCCCAATGGGCGGGGCGGAGGGCGGGGCGGGGCGTGAGGAGTGTCCGGAGGTGCGGCCAAAGGGGGGTGGGCCCGAGGGCGAGGCGTGCGGTGGATCCGAGGGCGGGGAGGAGGGTGGGCGGGGCGTGAGATGGGACCAAGGGGCGGTGCCGGGGGCGGGGCGAGCCGCGGGTGCCCCGCAGGCCGCGGAATAGGCTCCCGGGGCCCTGCAGCAGGTGTGGCGAGCGGGACGCCGGGCACCTGGCTCGCCGCCCTGTTCTGGGGTGGATTCAGGGTCGCAGACGGGGTCTGAGCGTCCTGCAGCGCAGCTCAGGTCGCTGTGCCCTTTGGGCAGGTCCCTGGCCCCCTGTGCACCTCATATCGTCCATCTGTCCTGCAAATGGGGCTGCACACCACCCAGGTCGGGTGGAGTTCTGATGATCAGAGGGGCTGCAGTAACTGTCACCTACTAGGACTGCGCCTTGGTAGCTGCGTGAACTGCTTGGGAGGGCCAGAGTAAGAAGTTCTCCAGTTACAGATTTCTTGGGGTCCCTTTCTCAGAGTTTGGCGCAGTGCCAGTGACGATACAGTTGTCCCCATTTATCCCGAGGCCACAGGGCAGACCTGAAATCCCAGAGTCCTTAACCGTGTATGAGTACATAATATCTTTTCTCCAAAGGTCCGTACCTATGACGCAGTTTAATTTGTAAATTAGGCATATTAAGAGATCACCAACAATAACTGATAATAGAGTAGTTACAATAGCATACCAGGGGCCGGGGCTGTGGTGTAGCAGGTTAAGCACCGCCTGCAGTGCCAGCATCCCATAGGGGCACTGGTTCAAGACCCAGCTGCTTCACTTCTGATCCAGCTCTCTGCTATGGCCTGTGAAAGCAGTGGTGGATGGCCCAAGTGCTTGGGCCCCTGCACCCATGTGGGAGACCTGGAAGAAGCTCCTGGCTCCTGGCTTAGGATCAGCCCAGCTCTGGTCATCACGGGAGTGAACTAGAGGATGGAAGACCTCTCTCTCTCTCTCTCTCTCTTTCTGTAACTCTGCCTTTCAGAGTTATTTATTATTTATGAATAAATACATATTTTTTAAAGTACACGAAAAGGTTGAGTTTTGAAGCCAGTAAGATGGGAGTTACTTGAACTCAAGGTCTTCCGCGGTTCTGGTAATTGCGACAGATTGTGAGTGACTAGTGGTGTCCAGGGTATCGAGTTTGGATATCTGGACAATGCTCTTCTCCCAGCATCACGTCGAGGGGTCATGGTATCAAACTGGCTCCTCACTGGAACTGTTAACCGTGATCCCTTGGTTCAGCTGGAGGAGCAACTGCCGAGTCACCACTGGCCCTTTTCCATGCTCCATTCTTTGGAGGGGAATCACCCAGTACAGTCTACACTGGGTGAGGATGGGAGTTGCAGAGATGAAATCCACCTTCTGGGGAGGAGCATACGAAATAATTTACAGATGTGTAAAACCACCAAGTAATGAAGAAATACCTGGGGAGGCGGGACTTTGAGGTTTGCGAGTATTCCACGCTCCTTCGATTTTCATTGCCAGTGTCAGCATGCCTCAGTGGATCCTGCCTGGTTCAAACGGTGATTTTCCATTTCCTTTGTTTCTTCTAATTTTTTTTTTGACAGGCAGAGTGGACAGTGAGAGAGAGAGACAGAGAGAAAGGTCTTCCTTCTGTTGGTTCACTCCCTAAATGGCCGCTGTGGCCGGCGCACTGCTGATCCAGAGCCAGGAGCCAGGTGCTTCCTCCTGGTCTCCCATGCGGGTGCAGGGCCCAAGCACCTGGGCCATCCTCCACTGCACTCCCGGGCCACAGCAGAGAGCTGGACTGGAAGAGGGGCAACCAGGACAGAACCGGGTGCCCCAACCGGGACTAGAACCTGGGGTGCCGGCTCCACAGGTGGAGGATTAGCCTATTGAGCCACGGCACCAGCCCTGTTTCTTCTAATTTAATAAATCAAACTCTTCTGAAAGGAGAATTGTTCTTTCTCCTTATTTACTTATTTAATTTTAAAAAATATTTATTTATTTATTTATTTATTTATTTATTTAGAGAGAGAGAGAGAGAGAAATCTTCCACCCTCTGGTTCACTCTCCAAACGGCCACAGTACCCAGAGCTGGGCCAATCCAAAGCCAGGAGCCAGGAGCTTCTTCCAGGTCTCCCACATGGGTGCAGGGGCCCAAGCACTTGGGCCATCCACCACTGCTTTCACAGTTTCATTAGTAGGGAGTTGGATTGGAAGTGAAGCAGTTGGGACACGAGCTAGCGTCCATATGGGATGCTGGCAATTCAGGCGGTGGCTTTACCCACTGCACCACAGCGCCAGCCCCTTTATTTACTTTTTTTAAATATGTATTTATTTATTTGAAAGAGTTACACAGAGAGGAGAGGCAGGGGGGGGAGAGAGAGAGAGAGAGAGAGAGAGAAGAGAGAGAGGTCTTCCATCCGATGGTTCACTCCCCAATCGGCCGCAATGGCCGGAGCTGCTCCGATCTGAAACCAGGAGCCAGGAGCTTCCTCCAGTTCTCCCATGCGGGTGCAGGGGCCCAAGGACTTGGGCCATCCTCTACTCTTTCCTAGGCCATAGCAGAAAGCTGGATGGGAAGAGAAGCAGCCGGTCTCGAACTGGCGCCCACATGGGATGCTGGCGCTTCAGGCCAGGGCGTTAACCCGCTGCGCCACAGTGCCGGCCCCTAATTTTTAATCAATTTTTATATTAGTATGAAATCGTATTTAAGTATCCTGGAATTGTAGAGCACTGATCTGAGTCTATATATGCTGGCTTCGTATTTTAATATTGCTCTCATTAATTATCATTATTATTTGGGCACTATTGTGCGTAATATGGAGTAGGAAGAACAGCAGCATTAAAATATACACACCTTTATGTGGTATTGTCATTGTGTTGCTGCGGGCATAGCCAGTGTTTAAAGATATGCTGTAGCAAAATTAAGTTAAGCAGAATTTAGTGGACTGAAGAATGGTTCATTAATCAGGCAGGACTTAGACTAGAAAAGAGTTGAAGAATTCCCTTCTGAAACATGGGCAGTGAGTATTTATAGACTGAACAGGGGAGTTAAGCATAGAGAGAGCTTGATAGGCTAGAGCCAGGTGTGTGCCCTTATGTGGACATGATCTCATCAGTTAACTGCCTCCGATTGGCTGAAGCTTGGCTGCTTGTGATTGACTGAGACCCAACACTCTGTTAGGAAAGTGAGACTCCTAAATAAAGTTTCAGGTTGTTTATGTACTAGGTTAGACTGCCATCCTTTTCATAGGAACTCAAAATACAGAGACAGCTTTAGGCCAATGGTCATTTAACTTAATCCTAGATACTCCCTAGAGCTGTTGAGGTAAGAAATAGTGTCGTAAACAAGTTATTTAAAGTAACAACAGAACCCAATAGGGGAGCTAAACATGACAAAATTATCACACATTGGAGGAGGGGCAAAGAGGTGGTGAATGCAAACCAAATCCTCACCTTCAAGATGAGCCAGCGATGGCGATATCATCTGCACGTGACACTGAAGTGACACCTTGACAGTAAGGACTCCATTTTGGAGAACCTGAGACTCCATTCTGGGAAGGTGCCCCCCCCTCCCGTGAGACTCTGGTCTGAAACTATGATCTAAAACAATTGAACAATAGCAGTCCATACACACTTGGCAGAGCATAGAAACCCCCTAGCACGATCGCTCAAGCTTGCAAATGGATAGGCTGCACCTGGGTTAATGATAAAAATGTAATTTGTCTATGTCCTACATATGATTAAAACCAATGCCTGTATTAATGTCAAGATTATAATTGGAATTGCTAAGATTGTAACTGGTGTTGTCAAGATTATAATTGATACTAGTTTCGCATAGGTTTTAGGTCAGCTTGACCCCAGTAACCATGTATTCCCCCCTGTTCCTAGCAACCATGTATTCCCCTACCGATTTTGTGGTTTTTGCCTTTATACACCCTGTTGCTTTGGGCTTCAGGGTCGAGAGTTCTTTAGGGCATGAACCCACTCTCCACCGCAGGCAATAAAGGGCCATCAAATTTTATCAATGTGTGGTGCCCCTTTGTTTACACTCGCTCAGGTATAACAAAACCTCAATAAGCAGAGCTTTAACCATGTAATTTGAAATTAAATAATCGATTCCAGAAATGCTTTAAGTAAGTTTACTTTTTAAATGAGCATAAGGTGGTTTATTCAGGGGCTGGCACTATGGCATAGTAGGCTAAGCCTCCACCTGTGGCGCCAGCATCCCATATGGGTGCCTGTTCATGTCCCGGCTGCTCCTCTTATGACCCAGCTCTCTGCTGTGGCCTGGGAAAACAGTAGAAGATGGCCCAAGTGGTTGGGCCCCTGAACCCATGTGGGAGACCCGGAAGAAACTTCTGGCTCCTGGCTTTGGATTGGCCCAGCTCCGGCCATTGTGGCCATCTGGGGAGTGAACCAGAGGATGGAAGACCTTTTTCTCTGTCTCTCCCTCTCTCTGTCTGAAACTCTGACTCTCAAATAAATAAAATAGAATAAAATAAAATAAGGTGGTTTATTCAATAAATGGTATTGGAACAACTGGGAAGTTTTAACAAAATGTAGTTCTTATATATCTCAGACTTCACATGTATGGGATTTCTTCTTTTTGTAAAAGAAGATTAATTTTATTTATGTGAAAGGCAGAGAGAAAGAGAGATCTTCCATCCACTTGTTCGCTTCACAAATGGCCACAAAAGTCAGGGTTGGGCCAGGCTGAAACCAGGAACAAGAAGGAGCTTCTTCTAGGTCTCCCATGCGCCCTGCGAAGGTCCAAGCACTGGGGCCATCTTCCACTGCTTTCCCAGGTGTAAGCAGGGAGCTGGATCAGAAGTGGAGCAGCCGGGACTCGAACTGGTGCCATATGGGGTGGCTGAGCTGCAAGCAGCAGC